TGAATTATCACTATTTCCACTTTCTTTTTTCTTTTTTTGGTAAACCTTTTCAATTAAAATTGCAAAAAAGAAAAAACAAATTTACAAGCCCAGTCCAGGCTTTAGTTTGATGGGACGAGCCCATATAGAGTTATAATAACGAGTCGAAAAAGAAACCCATAGAATAAGGAAATAATAAACCAATTAATGAGTTAAGAGAGAGTAGAAGTCAATTCCCAGGAAGGTAGTGCTTTGCCGTTGGGTTTCGAAACATCTCCGATGCAAGTATTTGTACTAATCATTGAGTTTGGGAGGAGAACCAGTGTTGTAGCATCAACGAGGCTAGAGAGGGATTTGATTGACGGATACTTGAAGCTCTGTTTCTAACAATTCCATCAATCGCATTGATAATGGAATCCACCGATTTGAAGTTGTTTCGATGCAACCGGTTGTTTCTTTCACACCAGATCAGGTAGATGGTGCATTGCCAAGCAATCCAGGTAATCAATTTCTTCTCTTTGGTCCCGAGAGTCTTTGCATAGCTAGAAGATTGTCATTCCAATCACGGATAGGTTGGATCTGACATTTGTGACTAACATGATTTCAGATCCTCCAGGAGAAACTGCAGCCGAAGAAGACATGGTCACGATCTTCTAAGCTTGAATTACAAAGTAGACAGTTTGGGTCCGTAATCAAACCCCAGTTGAGCAGTCTATTTCTAGTGGGGCAGCGATCCAAAACAAACAGCCAAGTGAGAAAGCTATGTTTTGGGATCCCTCTTTTGTTCCAGACAGCTTGATACCAAGGTATAGTAGGACGATGCTCCCTAATTGCATTATAGACTTGACCGGTAGAGAACTTGGTCATGATAACATCATCCATCACCCATTCATAGGAGTCTTCATCACTAGAGAGTGAGATAGTAGACAAATAAGCTTGTAGTAAAACCTGATTCTCTGATCTAGCAAGAGGAAGTAACCAACCAGTTGGACTTCTTAGGTCATGCAGAGTAACCAGTGGATAAAGCCCAAACTGAAACGAAGCAGCCCCTTGTAGGAAGACATGAAGACTACCAAAAGGTGACCAATTGTCATACCAGAATCTACAATTTTTCCCATTCTCTACCCTGAACTTTATCCAATGAAAGGCCACGTCCCTGATTTTTATGATCTTATTTGCTAACCAAGAGTTTCTTTGACTCGTTTTCAGGGACCAAATATTGTTCAAGGAGCCATGCAGAACCAT